TCAATCTTGAGTTAAAAATGAATTAGTACATTCATATCACCCTTTCAAAAGATAAACTGCGGTAGAAACAGTTGCTAGAATTCCTCACATGCTGCTTTTACTGGAAGTCGCCATGATGCTTTAACGGAAGACATTACTAATAGATAATGTTATGATCGAGCTATTTATTTACTCTGTTCCATATAATAATATATTAGTTTTTATACTAAGACTCATTTTGATCTAATCGTACAATTGAATTAAACAATTCTCAATTTTATCTAACGAAATTTAAAAATATATAAAAATAAAATGAAGATGAGCAGGATCGATTAGTAGGGCTTATCGTGTGTTCGTCTTGAAACTGCAGCACTATGTCAAATGTCACATAGAACTGCCATCTAGTGACTAATATTGAAATTATGCATTGGAATAACAAACTCACTTCACAATGACAAGCGATTTTAGATACACACGTTAATACATACAGTGCCGCCCACTAACATTGGCACCCTTGGTAAATATGAGCAAAGGTGGCTGTGAAAATAAATCGACATCATTTATCTTTTTGATCTTTCATTCAAAAAATTCACAAAATTCTAAACTTTCATTGAAGTGAAACAAAGGGGGGGGGCTCACATTATGAAATAAATGTTTTTCTCCGATGCATGTTGGCTACCGTTATTGGCATCCCTACAGTAAAATATCTCTGAAGTATATTCTTATTCATATTTAAAAAAAATTAGCACACCGGGGTGATTAAGAACATGAAATTGTCAAGCCATGACTTCCTGTGCCACAGGATTATAAATATGAGGAACACAAAGGCCAAATTCCCTTAATCATCCATCACAAGGAGTAAGAAATACTAAAGCATTGAAAATCCCCATTTCCACCATCAGGGCAATAATTAAGAAGTTCCAATCAACTAAATAAAATGAAGATGAGCAGGATCGATTAGTAGGGCTTATCGTGTGTTCGTCTTGAAACTGCAGCACTATGTCAAATGTCACATAGAACTGCCATCTAGTGACTAATATTGAAATTATGCATTGGAATAACAAACTCACTTCACAATGACAAGCGATTTTAGATACACACGTTAATACATACAGTGCCGCCCACTAACATTGGCACCCTTGGTAAATATGAGCAAAGGTGGCTGTGAAAATAAATCGACATCATTTATCTTTTTGATCTTTCATTCAAAAAATTCACAAAATTCTAAACTTTCATTGAAGTGAAACAAAGGGGGGGGCTCACATTATGAAATAAATGTTTTTCTCCGATGCATGTTGGCTACCGTTATTGGCATCCCTACAGTAAAATATCTCTGAAGTATATTCTTATTCATATTTAAAAAAAATTAGCACACCGGGGTGATTAAGAACATGAAATTGTCAAGCCATGACTTCCTGTGCCACAGGATTATAAATATGAGGAACACAAAGGCCAAATTCCCTTAATCATCCATCACAAGGAGTAAGAAATACTAAAGCATTGAAAATCCCCATTTCCACCATCAGGGCAATAATTAAGAAGTTCCAATCAACTAAAGATGTTACAAATCTGCAGGATGTGTGTCTATATCATAATGATGACTCTACGAGGATCACAGCTGGAGAATTGCAGATTAGTTGAGTCTTGGGGTCAGAAAGCCTAAACAAAATATCAAACAGCCCCTACATCGCCACATGTTGTTCAGGAAGGTTTCAAGAAAAATTATCCTCGCTCATCCAAAAACAAACTCCTGCATATTCAGTTGACAGACTCGACTGGAACTTCTATGGCCCAGATGAAACTTAAAAATAGAGCTTTTTGGCAGCAAACCCACCAGATGGGTTTAGTACAAACAGGGAGAAAAAGTACCCCATGCCCATGGTTAAATCTACTGCTGGATCTTTAATGTTGTGTGCCTGTTTTTCTGCCGAAGGTCTTGGACATCTTGTTCAGATGCATGGCATCGGTTGGATCTCAGTAACTTCAACTGTCAAAAATCCATTTACACAAATGTGTTTTCTCAGTGTGGATGTGAATTTCAAACCTAGTTCAAGCCTAACCTTGCACTCTTAAAAATAAAGATTTCACAAGATCGAAGTGATGCTAGAAGAAGTGTTTTTGGTTCCCCAAAGAACAGTTCAGTGAACAGTTCTTAAAGGAACCATTGTGAAGAACATTTAAAAAACCTAACTCAGGGGTTTTCAAAACTGGGCTTCGGGGATCTTGAGGGGGCCGCACAAGTGTACTAGGAGGTCCGTGGAAAGATAGAAAACAATGAATGTTTTTAATTAATGAATTAATGAATTAAATAAAAATACATTTAAAAAATAATATCAAGATAAAACTGTAGTGTGAGTGTGTGTGATCTATCTATCTATCTATAGGACTACTGTATATATATATATAATTTAATTAAATTTATAAAAAGTGGATACAAATTCATTTAATAAAATGTATCCAAGTAAATAAATACATCTGACAGTACAGTACTATAGTGAAAAAAACCTAATTATTTTCCAATATAATATATTGTAATATTTATACAGTTATAATATACCTCAGTATAAATGAGATCTTTATACATTATACATTTTATGGAGGTCCCAAATATGATCATATGTTGGGTCTGCGGCATCTATAGAAAACCTCTTAAAGAAACCTTTTCCACTACGAGCCTTTTGCACAATGGAAAGTTTTCATGAATATTGATAGGTTCTTCATGGAACCATAGATAACCATAGATTAAAAAAAAGAGAAAAAATCCTGGGCTATGTGGAAATGTTCAATAATGTTTTGTGGCCAAGATTGTAAGGTATGTGTTAATATAGAAATGAGCCCCATGCTTAGAAAGTGTGACAACTAGCCCCGGTAATCAATTGTTAAGCGCGTGATGATTCCGTGACTTGCGCAGGAGGGCGGGGAGCCTCGAGAGGGAATGAAGGAGCAGAAAACGAGCATCCTCAAATAACATCGCTTGAAAACGAGACCCTGGATCGTAATTAAAGATTATTCGCGTGAGGAAGTGAATGACATTGCCACATCAGGTGAGAGACATGTTATCCACTCAGGAGAGCGCGCGACAGCTCTGATTCATGTTCAGTTATTATCATACTGTACGTGTCGATTGCATTTAATTGCGAATATGTATAGAGACATGCCAAATAACCACAAGACAAATGATCCGTCTTTCCAAAAGCAATGTGATATAGTATCTCAATTTTACTTTCCCGCCGTAAAAATTAGCCTACACTACAGGCTTGACTTTAAGGCTCCATATTTCTAAAAATAGCTGTGGTGGATCTGTCAGGTGACCTCGACGTGTCAGTAATGTTAATCTCGCGTTTATCACCTAGACCAGTGTTTCCCAGCCTTTCTTTAGTCGCGGCACCCCTTTGGAAATTTTTACAAATTTGTGGCACCCTACAAAATTAATTTTGTCACAATATTTGAATTTCTAACTTCGATATGATACTTTGAAAAGTAACGTTATAAATATTCGGTACAGCAGGGAAGAACTGCAGAATATACTGTCATACAGATTTTTTAGATACAATTATTTTTAATTTATATATATATTTTTTTTATATATAAAACAAAAAGTGTCCATCAATGGTGGCAATCAGTAGGCTAATTTCTAATGAAAAGACCAATTTATATGACAGATTTTAATGTAGGCTTTTATTCATATGTAAACATTGTGAGCTAGCTAGTTGTAATGGTAATTAAACAGTTTTGCTCACTCAGTGTATTTTTGATTTTACAGCTGGAGAATTTGCTTGCAGTAGCACGAGATAGCTTGATTTAAAATTGAATAAAAAAAAATAAATAAAAAAAATAAGGAGACTAAGCAGTTAATAAAGAAATAACTAATAGCACAAAAAAAAAAAAAAAAAAAACAAAAGGCCTAAAAATGAAAAAAATTGCTTTTTAGTTTCAGGTAGGCTAAAGATATTATTATTTATTTTTTTACCAATTATCCAAATAATGTTTAGTCCTAGAAAGCTATTATTATCAGAACAAGTGAGCATAACATAGCGGTTAGCAGATCAATTAATGAGAGGGCAGTGTTACCAGAGTCAGGTAGGTCTAACATACAGTAGGGCTATTAAGATATATATATATTTTTTTTACCAATTATCCAAATAATGTTTAGTCCTAGAAAGCTATTATTATCAGAGAACACGCGAGCATAACGGTTAGCAGATCAATGAATGAGAGGGCAGTGTTGCAGAGCATTGTGGAGATACTGGGGCTCTCACGGTCCAGGTGTGTGGAGGCAGGCAGGATGACGAGGACGACAAGGATATTTAATGTAGCAACAAGGCAGAGACAGACACACACTCGAGGTAACATTCACAATAACCGACAAACTAGAACACAAGAGACAGGAACAGATATAGGGCAGTTAACGAGGGACCGACAGGTGAGCACAATGAGGTGATTAATAATTAGATGGGCTAAACCAACACAAGGGGAAGAAACCACAACAAACAGTCCACAGGGGCATTACATTACTCCCCCCTCCCGGAAGGTGCGTCCTCGCACCGTAGAAACAGAGGGAGGGGGCGGAGGGGGACAAGGCAGTGGATGTGAGATGGTGACAGGGGAAGGCAAAGGGCTGGCAGGCAGAGTAGAGAGGTGGAGGTTTCGGCGGAGGACGGACTTCCAGGAGGAGGACAGCTAACAGAGTCCAGGGAGGTGACGATGGAGGCAGGAGCCAGGGAGAAGACAGGAGGGAACCGGAGCAGGAGGGACCCTAGCAGCCCATGGTGGAGCCGACAGAGGGAGGAGCCATGGAGGAATATCCACCGACTCCAGGGGGCCGACCAACGGCGGCAGAGCAGGAGCCCGAGGCGGAGAGCCAAAGAGCCAGGGGGATGCAGAGGATCCAGGGGCCCAGGGTGGAGCCGAGGGCTCTGGCGACCAAGGCGGAGGCGGAGATCCAGAGATCCGCGGCGGAGCGACTGAGGACCAAGGTGGAGCTGACGGGAGGAAGGAGCCCAACGGAGCCGGTAGGACAGAGCGATGAGGCGCAGCCAGAGGAGAGGAGTCCAGAGGCGATGG